ATACAAAATAACATAATAACTAAATATACTATTTAAATAACTTAATGTACTAAGAATAATATTGTAATATAAAATAATACAATATAACATAATAATTAATAAATATGTTATTTCAATAACTTAATGTACTAAATTTCAAATAAAACATATTAAAATTATTTAAAAAAATTAACAAAATTGAAATAGTTATTTTGCTCTTGATAGAGCTATTACCCAGATCAAACAAGTCGATTAAATAATAATGACAGGCTTTAATTGATTGAATGCATAATTAACCCAGGGTTCTCTGGTGTAGAAATTAATGAATCTGGTTAGCGTATAGAGCAAGTCAGAATTAACTCATGAGCTGAAAAAAGACTATCAATTTCCTGCTGAGTTAATTTTGTTTCTTTAAGCAATGCTTTCCTATAGTCGTCTAAGACTTTTTGTATGTTAATTTTTTCTTCGGTATCCACAGTCACAATTAACTTTTCATGTTCACTTAATAGAGATTGAAGATACGAAATTCGTTTCTTATTTCTCATGTTTCTTTTAAACGGAAAAACACTTTTACTTTCCAAATTGCTTTTAATAGAGTTGATAAGTTTTTCAAAATGTTTTATCATTTCATTCCTATTAACAATTAACCATAAAATAAATGATTAAATAGTACTATTAAAAAAATACAGTCAATTCTATAACGAACTGACGGTTTTTTATAATAAAAATTTTTCAAAAGTTCGCTATATAGTGATTTACTATATTTTATATACTGAACCAATAAAGTTGTCATATGATATATATATATATATATGTGCTTACAAGCTCTCTCTCTTCTCTCTCTCTCTCTCTCTCTCTTCTCTCTCTCGTCTCTCTATCTCTTTCTCTTTCTCTCTCTCTCTCTCTCTTCCTCTCTTTCTCTCTTAATCAAGGTTTCGGCAGTATCAGCATCACGTTCACGTATTTTATCGGCGGGACAATTCTTTTCACAGTATTTATGGGAACAATAATTGCATTTCATTTTATGATAAGATTAAATGATGGATATTGTAAAATAATTTGAATATCTGT